TTGCACAGCAACACACACCGTCAGCGGTAGAGCAGAGCGGCTTGCCATCGCAATGTTGAGAGTTTAAATCCTGGTTGGTTGACTCAGCCCATCATCCCTCCGGCATCAACAAAACAAGTGCCACCTTGTTGCAAAGTCAACAACGTTTGTTTTCTGGACATACTCGCCCCTGCCATAGGAAAGTGGAATTTCCAGCACTTACTCAGGGCTATGAACAGAAGATGAGCACTGCCCCAATGGTACTTTCAAGCAAGATATGAATTATAATTATATTTTTTACACTGCTCGACAGAACTGTATTCCTATTAATCTGTTACATGTTCAGAGGGGCAGTGAGTCACCATTAAAATAATTTGACAGAATCAAAATGTACGTCACCGCTGTGTGTGACGTCTTAGCTGTAGCTGCTATTATGCATTATTACTCGAAACAAACCTAACGTGGGTAAGCCATGGTCATTAATGCGCACACATCAAGGACGTACTGTGCTATGTTTAAAGCAGGACCGGATTAAGTGTGATGGCCCCGTTACGGATTTGGGGAGCCCCCTCTTTGCATATTCAATTATTCCTATTTATTATTTTATTATCACCACCACCACCACTAGCCATCATCACAACGCTTAATGAGTACCTGTTACCGTGTACAAACGCCAGCACTGGGGCAATAAAGGTGGCCAAGCGTGGTACTAATTGCTTTAATATCAGGTAAAAGCTCTTTTAGAAAAATTAAAGACTCAATGAAAAAAAAACTACTTTAAACAGCTACATTATTTATGGAGTTTGCGTCTTGAGAAATGTCTTTGCCTTATTCTAGTGGTCGGCTATTTCTGGCGTGAATGCTTTCTTTAATATCTGACATCTTCCAATACAACCCCATTGTTGGAAGCACAGAATACAATTAAAGTTAGCGCATAGATGTAAGAAAAAGCAGAGTGGCTGGTTCTATTTCTGACCGTTGGATTTGTCAGAACGCTTGCGACTGGGAAATGGAAATTGTAACTCTGCAATATATTTTTTCCCCGTGTGATTGAAGCAACAATAAGCTAACATCAGACGCTTTTAAATAAAACAGCCTGAAAAATGCATTTTCTTTGTGCTCAACACGTGCGATTTGGTGCCTGTGTGTACTTAATGATATAAAAGCCATAATTTACGTGATTTATTCAGACATCACAAGAATAGACTTTATGCTAAATTACGTGATGCTAAAAGGATTTTTTTTTGTTCGCTGGCACGACTGGTACAGCTCGGATGAAGTTTTCACTGACAGTGTAACCTGGCATGAGTTTCGGATTGGACATTTTAATATCTTCAGGGGCCTTAAGGCAATTTCAGATCGCTTCTTGGATTTTTCGATGTATGGATCGTCTATATAATGAAATAAGCCAAGCAATATTCATGCTCACAAAAGTGATGTCACATGATGCCACATGACTACATGTGGCAGGAAATACGTGGAAGTGACAACACAATGTCAGTGATGGCATTCAGTCCAGGGGGGTGGTGGTACACGCCTGTAATCCAGCACTGTGGAAGCAGCCAGAGTTGGTGAATCACACGCGCGTTGTTGAGACTCCACCCTCGTGGGCACTGAGGTGCTGTACCCTGGCTTACCTGGCGAATGTGGTGCAACACAGCATGGACTAATCTTCATCCGTTATGAGATAAAGTGTTGCCCCATCGCACATGTGATTTCTCCAGGTGTAAACATCCCATTAATTGAAAGATAGTACCTTAATATACAGAGAACCGCAAAGCTTGGAGGTGAACTTTGCTCCGGCTCAAAGCATGGCTGCCTTTGCAATTTGTCTGTGGTTCCTCACGACGTTGTGTCGTTTTCCCTGTTCGAGAGCGAGCGAATGTTTTGCGACCCATTACAAGTTGAAATTAGTATCTAGTTATTACGATTATTTCCTGTGACGCCATGCTTAGGATCAATTTGGAACAAAACTAAAATTCGGATTATCCAAAATTTCGTATTTAGGCTCAAAGTTGAGCATTTTTTCGTATTAATTTTCAAATTGGAAACATGTCCTTACTGTAATAATATGATACCATACACTCAACATATGTGAAGGGTACAGATTTACCACCTGTTAGAGCCTATAAGATAAAAAAACAAAACTCGTTACCGTGCGCCAGTACAATACGTTCTTCACTTTGAGTGTGGCGAGTACTGAATGTGTGTTGCATGGGTGCGCATTTCATAGGTGGAGGTGTGCATTTTCATATTTAGATACAGCTACACAGTCAACTGTGACAAAACCAGAAACTTCACGGTAATTCTGCATACATGGTGAAATATCTTACGATCTGCCTCTCGCGTATTATTTCATACCAAAAAGGTGCTACTGTGCGTCGACATTTCCACATCGATGCTACTAAATTACTATTTTTTTATTTCATCAGGTGAGGCCCACTGAGCTATATAGCTCTTTTTCAGAAGCGACCTGGCCACAAATGATAGCTCAACGAAGTGGCTTATCACGTGGAAATTTATAGCAGCCAAGTACTCGAAATGTATGCTTATAAATGTGAAGATAAAAACCGGAGGACGCAGATATAAATCCACACGACCACGCGTAGAGAAACATGCAAACCCCAAATATACAGCAGGCAGTCAGGATCGGGATCAAACCCACAACCTCATGCATACCAGGCGAGGAAGTTAACATCTCGCGATCACGGCAGCCATTACCTTGAAAGCACAGGATGTGTACAAGGGAAAACATGGGACTATATTATCGAAAATAAAGGCTACAAATTACTATTTGAATACAAAAACATGCCGATACAAGTAATTAAAAAGGCAGCAATTTACTCTTCTTAAAAAAAATTGGAATGATTCAAATGTGAGATCAGCGTTTATGAATGTACAGACATGATTTTCAATTACTAGCATGTATTTGCAGTCGGCATAAATAATGGTACGTAAATAGGCAACAAAGGTGGGAGTGTTGGCGCAGTGGTTACGCTTTCATGAACCTGGTCACCTGAGTTCGATTCCTGGCCACAGCTAACCTCGGTGGCAAGTGATATCTGAACCAGTTCTGGGCCCCCTGTCACCAACCCGCATTGACCAACGTGGTGAAGTATGGTCAAACAATCCTTTATGACCGATATGGCGAGGGAGGGGGTATTCATCCAGCAGTAGATTGACAAAGGGCTACCAAATAAATAAGCTACTAAACCTGGTGAGGTATGGTATACAGAATTGTAGGGAGGCACAAAGCGATACATTTAAGGATACATTAGCCTCTGCCATGAGAATGTGGAATTTACAACACCGACCTAGGGATCTTAATGTTCCTTCATTTCTTTTTTTTCTATCCATGAGTCTGTTTCATTATCATGACGATCATCATCATGGTTCCTATCATCACAATCACAAGTGACCAAATAACCCTGAATATGCCCGATTTCGGCAGATTTCAGAAGCTCCGCAACTTTGAGATTGGCTAGCTGTTGGATGGGAGATTGTTTGGAAATACCAGGGTGTTGTCATCTTGGTATACAAGGTGTCCAGGAGGTATCAGATACAGATGTGGATTTTTGAATGTAGTTGCGTGGAGTTGTACGAGTACGATTTGGGGTTTCTCCAGTGTCGTAGGACCCTCCTGCAATAGTCTTGAGACTCAGTGAGGTTTTGCTGGTTATATTAATCACATTATCATCCTTATTAGTTAATTTGAGCATCAGGACTTTTGCGAAACATAGAGCAAATGTTTCTGTATATTATGACTCAATCATGCCACAGTGGCGAGATGTTAATCACCTCGCCTGGTATACAATAGGTCGTGGGCTCGATACCGACCGTGACGCCTGTATATTTGGGGTTTGCATGTTCTCCCCGTGGTCGCGTGGATTTTTCCTCCGGGTCCTCCGCTTTTTCCCTCAACATATATAATCATGCGTGTAGAGTAATTTGGCTGACATCAATTTCCACGCGATGAGAAACCACTTCGTTGAGCTATTATTTGCGGCCAGGTTGCTTCTGAAAAAGAGCTATGTACCTCAGTTGGGCTTAACCTGGTAAACACAAAAATAGTAAAAAAAAGAATGCTGTCTGAAGCCATAAATGATGTACATTTTGCAACAGCTCCTGCAGAGGTTTTTGTAGTTGTGCTGTATAGCTCTATGATGTGTTTTCGGGTTGTACCACGTGTAATTCGGCACGATGTCCGACGTTTAGAGCTGCTATGAGCTTATTGAGGAATTGAAGATCCCAGCACGTGGAGCGAAATGTCAGAGAATACCAAAAAACACGCGGTACGTATATACAACAGTGTATAGACATCAACTATACACCAAGTGACACCACCCCTCATCAGCATTGGAAGCAGTTATAGTGATGTCTAAACATTGCATCCTCAGCCAACACTGATACATACTCACAAGGAACAAAGTGCATGAGACAGTGAGTGAGTGAGTGCGTGAATGAGGGGATTAGTGCATGAATGAGTGAGTGGGTGAGTGCGTCAATGAGTGAGTGGGTGAATGAATGAGACAGTGAGTGGGTGTGTGCGTGAATGAGGGGATTAGTGCATGAATGAGTGAGTGGGTGAGCGCGTCAATGAGTTCGTGGGTGAATGAATGAGACAGTGAGTGGGTGAGTGCGTGAATGAGGGGATTAGTGCATGTATGAGTGAGTGGGTGAGTGCGTCAATGAGTGCGTGGGTGAATGAATGAGACAGTGAGTGGGTGAGTGCGTGAATGAGGGGGTTAGTGCATGAATGAGTGAGTCGGTGAGTGCGCGAACGAGTGAGCACGCGAGTGGACGAGTGAGTGCATGAATGAGTGCATGAGTGAGTGGGTAAATGCGCAATTTGGTGAGTATGTGAGTGGACGAGTGAGAGCATGGGTGAGTGCGCGAGTGCGTGAATGAGTGCGTGAACGAGTGCGCGAATGAGTGGGTGAGTGCTTCAATCTTGATTTGAATGAGTTTCCTGAGTGCTTGCGCGAGTGAGCGGGTGCGAGTTCAGCCGGCGCCGAAGTTACCTCTCGTCGCAGTTGTCATCCCTGTAGCCGTCATCAAAGACGAAGGACTCGTTGGTGTATCCTCCCTGCTTACTGCCGTTTCTGCTGCTGCACCCTTGCATCCTGAGCGGTCTGCGTGGGCTTCTCGTCTTGCAGCGGCTCACGCCGCCGGCACCACCGCTTCCCAGCTGCCTCTGGTTGAGCAGCATCTGAGCGCTGGCGTATGAGCATAAGTGAGGAGTGGAAATTGGGAAACTCTTGCACTCGGATGTTTTTTTTCGTTTTTTTTGGGGGGGGGGGGGAGGGGGGCGATCTTCCGCACGGTCTTTCTCAAGAGCTCACGACAACTCGATGGTTGTCAGCTGGACATCAGGCGACGAGCGAGTGCGAACAACGAATTGACACATCTGGTCTGAATTTGTTTTTTTTTTTTACTAAAAATTGCAGTCCGAGCTAGTTTCGTGTGAATGTATTTATTTATTTATATCCAGTCTATCTATGTTACTATTTATTATATACTGGACCCACGGCAATGTGTGCACACAGGTGCGTGCGTAGTCTCAGCGTGGATCACGCAGGCGCAATGGGACCCGTGGCCGTTGCGAGCTTCGCAAAGCTCTGCCGCTGCTGCTGCTGCTGATCATCATCAGCAGCAGCATCGATGGTAACGGCTCACACGCGGAGGGCGCTGTTGGTTGACGCGCTGTGAGAGTGGCAGTGTTGACATCTGCTGGACTGTGACCGTCATTGTGGGTGAAGTCACGCGCGCCACCACCACCCACACCCCCGTTTCTGCGTTCTCTCTTTTGTTTGCATTTTGACTGCTTGTGTTGTGGTTATTGCAAACATGATGCCTTGAATAAAGTTGTCAGTTTTTGTGCCAGTTAAAAGGGTAAAACCTATTGCTATATCTTGTTACTGGCAAAGGAGGTCTCATAATGTATATGCTCACCCCGAGCCCTCAATACTCTGATAGTGCGCTGTTTTTGAGTTGTATGCCTTTTGGCGTCTTCTGGTCCAACACCAGTGGAGACTAGGCGCTAAGAAAAGCCGTCTCGGGTGTGGACCAATGAAATTTCAAGGACAGTGCATATTATTATCAGAGTTGTCTCTTTTGTTTGCATTTTGACTGCTTGTGTTGTGGTTATTGCAAACATGATGCCTTGAATAAAGGTGTCAGTTTTTGTGCCAGTTAAAATGGTAAAACGTATTACTATGCGTTGCTGTTGTTGAACAATTCGCATTGAAAGACCTCATCAGGGTTTCATGGAGCTGGTAATTACCGTATTGCGATAGTGCCGTATGTGTTACTGGGGCTAATTGGTTGCGCCTATTATAATTAAGAGAATGGCTTTTGTTGGGAGCCACAAAAGTCATTGTTTTGTATATTTATAAACATGCGCGCGGAGTATTTGGCTTTTATACATTTCAACGTGATTGGCCACTTCGTTGAGTATTCATTTGTGGCCCAGTGGCTTCTGAAAAAGAGCTACATAGTTCACAGTGGGCTTTAGCTGGTAAAATTAAAAAAATGTGTTTAGTTTCATAATCGAGGTTTTTTTTGGGTTAGATCGCGTAAATATACAAATGTGTCATGAAAACCCGCCACCACCCGACACAGCCAACTAGTAAGGGTTGTCACGTAAACAGAACGTGGCCAATTCGTCACTAGTACAGTCCACAATTACATGTTGTGGCTTGGCTCTCCAACACACCGGTGTGCTGTACTAGCGCGAATTGGCCACGTTCTGTTTACGTGACAACCCTTACTAGTTAGCTGTGTCGGGTGGTGGCGGGTTTTAACAACACATTTATACATTTGCGCGATCTAACCCAAAAAAAACTATTATGGATGTTTAGTTTCGTTCATTAATTGTAGTTGTGTTGCACGTTATTTATTTTTGGCATTGGACGGGGTCCCACATTTTTTGTTATGGAGCGTGCTTGCCAAATAGCTCCTTGTAATCTCGATGCATTTGTTAAGCAAGCCTGATTCTGCTGACGGGACTCAGACGGTCGAGACCGGTCCAGAGTTTTGCTTGATCGCTTAAACCAGTGGTAATTATTAACTTTGACAGCAGCTCTGCGACCCCTTTGGGTTCTCAGTCGTTACAATGTTTTATGTTAATAAATACATAGGGTTTGATTAAACAAAGCAGTTGAACTTACGTCCCCATGCTTAATTGGTGATTTCGATTATTTACCTTATAAAAAAAAACATCTGGCCATGCCTCGCACCCTCAGAAAGGGTATCTTGCACCCCTAGGGGGTGCACGCACCCCAGGTTAAGAACCACTGGCTAAAACGAATGCTGCTTTTAAAATATTGGTCTGTAAAGCGATCTGGCTGATGGACCGGGCGTATTTGCTATATTTTTTGGAGAGACAATGAAGTTCCTGCCTACGACGTTTTTGCATTGAACCATTATTCTGTCGTCACATCCACTATCCTCACATATATCCAGGGACTACCATACGCTGTCGTGACCCATAGACTTGCATGCAGAGTCATGGACATACACATTCACGCACACTCAAACTTTATCAATCGATAGAGTTACGTATTGAGAACCGTAGACCTCTTCAATGTAGAAAGTATTGTATGCGGTACAGTTCATTAATTTGTATAACTTGTCTTATAGATGTGTATAAAACCTTGTTTGCAACCAGACACAAGTTAGGGGTGAGTCTTACTTTCCGGAGTGTCTTATGATCCGAACAATACGGTGCATTTGGTTATTAACCCACAAAAAATGCAGGTTTTGAAGTGCGATCGATGTACGAGATCTCGCATTTTTTTGAGAGAGCGCCATCTGCTGTGAGCAATTTGATCTTAGTTTAAGTAACATTTACAAAGCGATCCATTTATAGTTACAACATGCGACCTCCCTAGCCAGTATCGAAATATAAGAATAGGTTTTACCGCAGGAAAGGGTAAAGCCTATATATATTATAACAGAGAGCTCAATGCTATGTCAATGTCGCTACACGTCCCCCCACCAATTTCAACACACTTATTCATATTTTAACTATCTTCTTTGGAATATATGAATGGACCACGTTAACGGTTGCAGTTTTCAGTCAGCTATTGTGGAGCAAGGGGGGCATTGGAAATCAATGGGATATCTAAACAAATGGATCACCTTGTACACGTATCCGTTTTAAACCACCACAACATGGAATGTGTATATACATCGTTTCTTGTGGCGTTCCATCATACTATGGGCCTTCCGGGCCAATGTTCTACAGCAAAATTTGTAAAAAGCGGGCACATTTTGAACTGGTTTCATCCTCCCTAACACTGACGTTAAACAGTGTTAGGGATGATGGCCGATGGCCAAGCGTAACAACGGAGTGGCAGCCAAAGGAATGGAACGCATCCCAGAGCAAGCCCATCGAGGAGATGGAGCGGTGAAATCAGCTCGCGTAAAGATGCTAGGTGTGTCCTTGCATCGCAGACTCAGCAAGAGGAGGAGGGCGGCTTGGGGAGGCCTTCATCCAGCAGTGAATTTACCATAGCTGCCGCTGATGATTAGCACGGTTGGTTACATACAGGGCGAAAGAAGTTCAACATACATACATGATTGTTATTCTTTGGGTCTTTTCGGTAACGCCACGTAGATAGTGAAATAATTGTAAAAAAAACACAATTTTTTTACAATTATTTTTCAATACAATTTTTGCACAATTATTTTTCTATCTACGTGGCTTTACCGAAAGACTCAAAGAATATGAATTCCTGCAGTCACGAAAGCTTTAAGTCAAGATTGTACATGATTGTTATTAACATCAGTGCTGCTCGCTGATACGTACACAGCAGGACTTGATTGCGACTCAACAACGAATGAACAAAACACGTTTATAACAAACTAGATTTGAAGTTTTCGTGACTACAGGGATCCATACTCTTTGGTTCTTTCGGCAAAGTCACGTAGGTAGAAAATAAATTAAATCACCCCTTTTGCCCACTTCAGCGATTGCTTCTTGCTGTTGTTATCACACCTGATGACGGACGCTTGTGTTGCGCCCGCAACGTCTTGATTTAATTTATTTTATTTTATACCTACGTGACTTTACCGAAAGAACCAAAGAGTACGTTTATACCAATGTCAATTTCAGGTGATGTTTATTAAAAGTTTTTTTTTACTTTACTCAAAGACATAATTCCGTGAATTGTGCATAACGAAAAGGATGTCAATGGTGACATGTTTTACAATTTAGCATCGCCCCAAATGTTTATTCATTATGACTTGTTTTGCAAAGTGGAACACATTTTAAGGTACGTTAATTTGGTGAATCATTAACGCGTCAGAACAATTTGTTTCAAAGTGGAGTTTAAATAGTAGCTTGCTAACAGATGCTCTTAACGCTGCTGATCATGTTTATGAATACAAAAAATGCGTATAATTACATATTTACATCTTCAGCCACGACACGGCCCACTTACAATTTACACACGATGAAGCGTTCACAACGTCAAGTTTTAGTATATGCTAATTATATTAGAAATAATGATAATTAGGGGTGATAAGTAATGTAATAAAAATGCAAAAATGTTAGGATCGTGGTGATTTTTTGGGGTTAATGGATTCATTTTTACACACCACAATGCATACAATTCAGACACTTACACCCATATTGTATGCAGGAACACATCACATTGCAGTAATAAGATATTGAGATTCAAACACTGCAAGGAAAACAAAACGTTTGCTTTCTAATGCACCATCCTAAAGAGGCCCAGCAATATGTCACGAGAGGTTAATTAGGTCACAATCACACCGAGGGCCAGTGGGGTCAAACGAAAGCACACGCACTTGTAATGCCAGCTTGTTGTTGACCAGCTTATAATTGGGAGTGTTTGAGATTTGGTTTTAAGTGGGTGTTTTTCATCAGCCAAAAAGATGCCGTCATTTGCATTTTCGTTTGGATGGTCGCGGGGGTTATTAGACCATACTTCACCACACTCATCAGTGTGGGTTGGCGAAGGTGGGGAGCACAGACGCGGGAACATAGAAGCGCAGTCAAATCATGGATGCTGCTGTACTGCCCCCTGATACCCACCACGTAAGCCCGCAAGCCCTATGACAAGCTGTTTAATGCATTGTGGTCACTAATCCATGAACTATTCGGGCTCATTTCTGCTTATCTTCAGAGATCTGATGAGATTGGGTGCAGTGCGGGTAACTTGATCAAGATATATTTTGTATATGTTTGGTTTTAGACGATTATTTTATAAAGTATGTAGTATTTCTCCATTATCGGCAACATTAAATAACGTATTTACCAGTGGTAAATTGGCAACATTGAAATTCAGGAAAATTTATACTGTATGTTTTGTAATTGAGCATGTTTAATACCTCTTGATTTTAAGTATTTTATCTGTTGTCCATAACTAAGGGCACATTAAACATGTTATTTATTGCGTTGGCCATAACCAAACATATACGAATAACTTTATAAAAATATTGTACAAAAATCAAGCGCATATATGAAAAAAACTAAAAGAGCAATGCCATACATTGGCGAATTCGTACTATCGGGGCAATTAATCTGTTAAGTTGATTAACTGATAAACATTTAAATGTACTATTTTGTGGACACGTTTTTTTGTGGTCGATTCCAGTATTTGGAGCCCCTTTAAACATTTCTGGCACACCAACATCCTGAAGGCTGGCAACCCCCCCAACAAGCCACGCCCAGCGTACGTTCATGTCGATGACGTCACCAAGTCCTGGCCATCACCTCCCGTCCAGCGGGCTACACCTCTAAATGTTTTAGTGTTCTATTAAGTCGAGTAACCGAATGGATAATCGATTTTAAATAATACAACGTGGAAATCTTAAACTACACACGATGCTATCTAGATTTGAAGTTTTCGTGACTGCAGGGATCCATACTCTTTGGTTCTTTCGGTAAAGTCACGTAAAGTATAAAATAAAATAAATTAAATCACGATTGAATTCGTGATTTAATTTATTTTATTCCTACGACGCTATTCCAGTAATCGTGGGCAGGGCGTCTCGAAAAGTCTGCAGCAATAAATTATTAATTTTTTTGAAATACGTCGACTTCTAGAGGTAAAAAAAACCTTTCATCTGGCAAGGTCGCCCACTATCAACGCCACTGGCTCATTCCACGGACGGTGTTCGCTTACCAACCAAACCAGACAAATGGCAAGCGTTGAGGATGTAAGTGTCGCTCATCAACGTTGTCTGCTCTGCTCGTGGAAACCAACAGAGTGACGTGCGTTGATGAATAAAATCTTACGTCGTGTTGGACGTGTGTGTGTGTGGGGGGGATCTTTTTTTTTTAATTTTAATGCCACCCGGCGTAACGCTTCTCGAAATCCGGGCAGAACGTTCAGGAAAGGCGTAAGGATGCGACGCGGCGATTGCGGCGATTGCGGCCTTGGTGAAAGATCGAGTGGAGTTTTTGTGCCCCCTATTTGACGAGACTTAACCTAATTATTTCGTTGTTATCTTAACGGTTGGTTGTTGTGTAGTTGCACATTCAGTCGACGGGTTAATGATGCGTTGTCCGTGACCAGCGCACACACACGTGCGTGTGTGTGTATATATAGCGCGCACACGTGCGTGTGTGTATGTATATTGCGAACACACGCGGGCCACTGTTGTGTTCAAACAACCGACTGTTTAAATCGTCACTTCATCATTCACAGGGACAAATAATTTCCAAATCACCTGAATGCTATACGTTGCTCCGATATCTAGAAATATTGTGGATTCCCATGCATGTACAGTACGATATTGTGATGGTCGATATAACGCACAACACGTGGTTGTACTACTACAGTACGGTGTACTACAGGGTAGTCCCAGATGTCTCGTGATTCAAAATTAATTGACCCCTATCATTTATTTTCTCAGCGTTTTCATTTATGTTTATAAATAAACCTCACTTTGAAGAGAAAAATGCATTAAGTATGAGATAATATAATGGGGGGGGGGGGGGGGTCACAAGACATCTGGACCAAACGGAACAGAAATTCACTTCGTTCCAAGAGAACTCAAAACGGGGAGATGGAGCGATAATTTTCATGGGGACGACTGCTGCCGTTTACGATGAATTGTCATTAAAAAAAATAATAATTGGTTCGTACGTTTTGAATGTCATGAACTATTTGCACACATCGCAAACGACTGTTAGCGACTACCGTACATGTTTCCTCGACTACATAATGAGCGGCAGAGAGAGCTAAGCGCGTGCCATGGTTGGTGTTCTTCACCAGCCGGCACTGACCAGCCGGGTGAAGTATGGTCAAATAACTCACTCTGCACCCGCACGGTGTTGTGATGCTCGTATCTAGCAGTGGAATGCCAAAGGTGCTTTACACATACATGCTCTGCTGTTGGTTATTGACGTGTTAAACTATTTGCGTGTTTCATTTCCACCTCTTGGAAAGCACCTTGAATCAACGGGAGTTAATACTTCCTCTTTCTTACCTGTACCCGACTCTGCTCTACATGCTCTTTGTCAATCCACTGCTAGATGATTGCCTCTTCACGCCGAGCGGGTCATGGTGGCTATTTGACTTTGGGCCACCCATCCAGAATCAGAATATGTATTTATATTGGAGGAATCCGATGAGCTGTGCCATTGGTTCTTAACCTTTACTGCAGCCTTACACCCCTTGTGGGGTCTCAGTCGTAACAAAAAATGTATAATGGTCATAAATACATTTGTTTGATGAAACAAAGCAGTTGTACTTACGTGCCCTTGCTTAAAAAAAAAGATCTGGCATGTCTCGCACACCCAGAAAGGGCATCTCCCAGCCCAGGTTAAGAACCACTGAGTTTTACAATTATTTTTCACAGTTGTCCAGTAGGGGGCGGGTCAACTTTACAACAACAATACAAAAACTACGATAGGAATGTAACGTATAGGAAAGGTAAAAAAAAATCGCTTTAAAAATATACAAGTGAAACTAAACAATGTTTTATCTTACCAGGTAACTGGGCTATTCACTTATAGTTTCAGAAGCGACCTGGGCCACATCACTGCTTGCCTTTCGAGATCTGACGAGATTGAGCGCTGTCTTGCCGATTGCTCTATAACAGGACAGTCATGGTACAGTACTATTGTTAGCAGTGAATCCTGAGAGCCCAAAGGTGCATTTGTCCATGTGATCCGAATGCATTCAAAGTGAATACCCCTTTTCTACTGGCACATCCTAGCCAAGTCAGGCCCCTCACAGTATGATTTTCCACTGGTTATTTGCCAAGCTGAACCCCGAACCAAATGGTGATACCCTGGCCTCACAAAACATCTGAATCTGGCTCCGGACCAATCAGGGCCACGTCCAGCGACGTGTTGATTGGGTGCGACGTCATTGGCGCGGCTCGCCTTCTGCAGTGGAAAAGCAATATGGTGCTTGGTCACCTGGGCTGGTTCGAAAGGGCTACCCAGTGTAGCTCTGTTGCACAGAGGAAAACAGATTACGTTAAGAATTAGCTGATATTTTGGCATCTGGTTTTCCATAAGCAAAGCATTGCACGTGAAGACTAATTGATAGGGAATTAAAGTAAAAAAATATACAGTGTTGCAAAGTAAAGCATATTTTGAAAATAACACAATGGAAAATGTATGCAAATTGCGATTGTTTATTTTGCCTTATTTTCTTATAATACTTGCAAAGGAGTCATTACATAATTAATTTAAGATGTATGAGATTTGAATGTTTGAGTTGTAAAACTTTAAATGTTATAATATTCCAAACCATTTGAACATGTTTTAAATTGCCATTCATTTTTAATGTACATTTTGGCAACCACGCTCGAGTTAGCACAATTTTAATTCATCATTAGCACTGGAAACCTATAACAGGTCTATCACAAAAAAAATAAACTGTTTTTTTAATGAGGCTGATAGCAATTAACCTTAAGTTGGCACCGTTGAAAATGTGCATTTCAGGGACCCAATTACTTAACCTAAAGTTATTGATTGTATCTCAATTACAGTGAAGTACTTCCATTTTTGGAGATTCTGCCATGGTATGATCGTTAGCACACTAACCATTAACTGTGGTATAGGTAGCTTGTCCAATTCGATGCCTGTTTTTCGGTATTTGAAGCAATCGACCGGTTTCTTCATTTTATTCATCTCTCTCCACCCAGCAGTAAACATTGGGTACATGACAACCAATTGGCAGGTTACGTGTGGTGGGGTAAAGTGTAGGTATCTCCCACCTTTTCAAAGACGTTTGACTAGCGTGGAAGAGTAGGCCGAATACCTTCTGGAGGGGCTCTATCGAGTCCCCAAGAGTTGAGATCCTTTCTGCCAGCAGTGGCATAAGCAAACAATTGTAGGGCTGCATCTCTACCTTTTGCTCCATTTATCAAATGTGTGCAAATTGTATTATGACCCTTTTGGAGTATTTTTTCCCCTTGGACTTCATTGCTCCTGGAGTTATAATTATAAGCTATTCCCAATGACCATGACAAATGGGCTTGCAAACACAACACTTGTGGGAAATCTTTATATAGGACAGCTTTGATTTTTTTGTGAGCGGTAAAGGCATGGATCTCGACTATTGTGTAATATTTCATGGAATCCTTGACTCTTGTGACAAAATGATAGTTTCTATTCTCCCAGTGTCTGTCTTGCTGGCAATCATTCTATCCCGTCAGCTTTTTGAAATTGGAAAAGCCAAAGTTGTCTTCTGCTCAAAAGTGCATAGGGCAATGAATATAAGGGACCTTTTTAAACTTCCGGACGAGTTAGGCTTCAGAGGTCTGTTCGTAAGTCTATTTGTTCACAAGTCCAACTTTACTGCTGCTGATTCCAAACGTGCTGTACCGCATGTACACTAAACACGGGGAATGGCTTTAAAAGTTGTATAATATCCTGTACATGCCACTGGTTCTTCATGTTCTGCAGATGTAGATGCCACCACCTCCATCTATTGCGCGGCGGTTGAATTTACGGCTCTCGGTCCGAACAGGCAACTGAACATACGGACATGTTTGTTCGTATCTCTGAAAGTTCGTGAGTCCAATGTTTGTAAGTAGAGGACTCCCTGTATACTGTCTGCAGCCTTGGGTCTCTGTATCGACAACCACAGTTAACTTGCAGCAAAGTGCTTCTCATTATCGTTCGATAGATTGTTCCTATTAATTGTGCGGAAGCCAATTTAAGAGAGGTCACCCCAAGTGGCAGCACATTAATTTGTATTATCCACACGGAAAGCAAATAAGATAAAGTGAGCGACACATCATATTTTCCCTTTCCTTCAGTTTGAAACAATGCAAATCAAAATGCATCCAACATTTTATATTATATTTTTCTTCCGTATGGCGTATGAAAAGCAACTAACAAAGTAATATTTTGGACATTGTGAAATTATATGGTCCATGGCTTGGAGTTTGAAGCTGCAGTCGTACAAAAGACAGTCTTGTGATTTTTCACTTGTGCATGTGATGATGATTAATGATAATGAGGATGTGGAAGCTGATGTTGTTCATCATCATGCTGCAGTTGTCACCATCGTGATATCATAATTCCCTTAACAGGTGTCACAAAGAAGCTCCCAGCACATGAAGCGACACGTTGGGCATCTTGCCAAACAATACACGGCACACCGCAAAAAACGCATCGGAGAATCGATGCGTCGTCACGCACAACAAAGATAAAGATCCCCCGTATAGCATTAACAGATTGTTGAGGCAAATGCTGTTCACGAACACCTGTGAAGGCCGGCAAGGTACACGAGGGGGTGGGTAGCCAGCACCACACCCGACCGCCCTTGTCTCCCCAGTGTTAATGTTTGCACACCGCACCAGGTACTCATTGGAGGCTGAGTCGACCTAGGGGAGGCCCAGAACCGGTTCAGATAACTTTCACCGGCGTTGACCATGAGCGGGAATCGCACCCGGATTGCCGGATTGGTAGCGCAGCGCGCTAAACGCTCTGCCACCGCTTCCCATCGGCGCACACGGGCACAACTAGCACATGCATTTCTGTTCTCTGTGTTTTTTTTTCGTTCTGCAGCTCCTGTTGGACCAGGAGGAGCTGAAGAAGCTGTTGGTGAGCGCCACCCGGCCCGCCGTTCAGGAGCTGCTCAAGAAGGAGCTGCGCAGGGTGGATCGTGAGGCCAGCAGTCGAGCGCAGCAGAGCAAGGCGGCCGACGCGTCCCCCAAGGCAGCTGCTGCTGGGCCACCCTCCACCACCAAGCTCAGCAACTATGGTGACCTATAGAGATGCATGCAGTACACATACACGAGCAGGGGGGGGGGGGGGGGCAGACGATATATAAAGTTGTCTCTGCGACACCTTTATACCTTGAGTCATAGCCGATTGTAACAGCGACGTTGAGCCAGACAATTTTCCATGAGAGCGGGTGAGATGATAACACAATAACACGACACCTTGCTAATCTCGTCAAGGAGCATAAACCATCACACGGTCATCCGCGCAAGTAGCTTTTGGCTAGCCATCGAACAAAGACGGTCACTGCATCTCGCGCTTCAGATGCACTTCTGCGGTCATCTTCCTTCCGATATTATGAAGCCACTGGAGCAATGCACTTTTAAATCATCTAGATTGGATTAGCATCGTTGGCTACGTATGGTGTGAAAGAAATTCAACATGCATAAATACGAGCATTGCAGTTCACAATAATAGTAATACAGGACAACTTGACCCAATGCGACTTTATCGAGTGCGTATTTCGGCTAAACATGGTTTACTAAATTAGGTTTGTTTTCCGGAACACGGGTGATATTTCGGCTGTACGCGGTTTGACGCTGCTAAGATTTTCATCTCTGCATCGAAAAGTAGTGCCGTGAGAGTGCCGCATCCATTGGAAGGTGTGAATGAATCGACTGAGAACGATTTATTTACCATGTCTGTATTTGCGAATGTGTTTTTTGTGCGATAATGCAACACACTCGACACGCATTACGCAAATGTTGCCGCATGCATCTAGTTAGTACAGTAGGTTCTGCCACGTACAAATGAGCACAATACGTAATTAAACAAATACAGCCCTGCATCGGTAGGACTTTTTCGTTCATTAAAAACTCTGAACATCTCGTAAATACAGTAAAACCTTAGATTGCGAGCATAATTCGTTCCAGAAACGTTTTTGTAATCGAAAGCACTCGTACATCAGTTGTGATCACGTGACGCTCGGCAGACAAAGCGTATACGTACTACTCGTATTGCAAGACCTCGCTCGTTTATCAAATTAATATTTATTTAAAAATTTGCTCGTCTTGCAAAACACTCGCAGACCAAGTTACTCGCAATCAAAGGTTTTACTCTATAATTAAAAAGTATTAAGCTTAACCCTAATGCTATTCTCGTAAGTTTTTTTTATGCGACTTCTCTGTTCACGAGGGTTCCAGTTAACGAGTCAATTAAATGACTCGACACTTGGGTAACGAACATAAGTTTAGCCAAACATATCTCATGACTAGCTGAACACTGTCTAAATAACACCTATTTCTTGTGGAAAGGCGACTTCTATAAACAAAGGGAAGGAGCAGCAATGGTATCTCCTTTGTCTCCTGTGATAGCGAATTTGTACATGGAAGATTTTGAAACAAAAGCAATAGCTTCAAGCACACTAAAACCCTCTGCTTGGTTTAGATATGTGGATGACACATAGTCTGATAAGTGAAATTGAACATACTCTTTGGTTCTTTCGGTAAAGTCACGTAGTAAGAAAAATAATAGATCACAACATTTTGATCGCGACACAAGCAATCGTCATCAGGTGGGACAACCACAGCAAGAAACAACTGTTGAAGTAGGCGAGAGATCTGCCGTGGCACGAGGTTATATAGGCCTCGGCAGTACAGTTGGGGGGGGAGAGGAGGTGGGGGGAGAGAGGTGGCGGGGCAGAAAGTGGACCCCGCGTCACCTTTTAGAGAAATCTGGCACAGTACATAAAATACATAAATTAATTTTCTCGTACAAGAGATGTATTACCGAAGCTATCAACAGAAGGTGTGTACTGCATTAATTGCACTTGTGGCAAATGCTATGTTGGGCAAACAGACGAATGATCAGCATGAGACTAAAAGAACACCAAATAAATATTAAATACTCCCAAATACAACTGTCAGCAGTAGCAGAACACGCATGCCAACAAGGACACTCAATACATTTTGATAATGTTGAATTCTGTGCAAAACTAGTTACTACTGGCCAAGACTAATTAGAGAATCTATCGAAATTCAAATGCATGCCGATACAGGCCACCATGCTTCAATAGGGATTACTGTTGGTATGGCTATTTTAGTACACACAGTGAACACAAGTACAATATTAATGTGCCCGCATAATGCGCATGCACAATGTACGTTGATCATTTACTCCCACTTTACGCAAGAAGAGTGCACAAGTGTTGTCATCACCTCTACGCCTCTAGTTAAGGAATGCAACAGGTGGACTTCTCCACAACTCTGGCTGTCGCCTGATGGAGCTAGTTGTAATTACTGGCGAAACGTCGTACTCAGATTGTAAATGTTGTGGCTTGGCTCTCCAACACACCCATGTGCTGTGCTAGTCACGAATTGACATGTTCTGTTTACATAACAACCCTTCCTAATTGGCTGTGTGGGGTGGTGGCGGGTTTAACGACACACATATTTACACGCTCTAACCCAAAAAACCTTTGTTATGCATCTAGCTGTCCACTCGTTGAGGATGTCAGGTCGACGGGCGCCTAGATGGCGAATCATCAACGTTAAAGTGACTGTGTTAGGGGCGATTGTCGGGCTGGAAAGTCAGTGTTAGGGGGGAACCGTAACAGCTTGGAGTGTCCTAATTTGTTCTCTCTGGCGCTTGCAATGCTTCGTATAGGATGGGACCAGTCGGAGAAGTTTCTGAAGGTGTACGTATCCCTGGAGGGTGTCCAGAAGGCTCCCTCTGAAAATGTGTCTGTGGAGTTCAAAGAGAGGTGAGCTTTGTATTATCTTGTATATTTAGTATTCTTATATTCTCCCAGCAGGAGGCAATGTTGCATTGTGATTTTTTTTAGTTCGTGAAATGTTGACCGTGACGCCGGGTCGTATAGCCGACTCGTTTTTGTGACAGTTTCCAACATCTACGGTGCAGCAGACATCCTGTTTTTCGGTTCGAAAAAGGGCAACCCTTTCTATGATAATATTTTTCACTTCATCTTTTGGAAATGCTGGCATAGCAGTCTCTGGTATTGTGCATACATTTATTGTAAATATTTGAGCATATTGTTTCAGTGAAGCTCGTTTGAAAATATTTGCTGGTTCAAATAAAATATTTACATTATCCCTCACTTCATTTATGGTAACTCTTTATTCACATCGATTTTCTATTCCCTCTCACCACCATTAAGTCTAAATACCCGTACGAACTAGTGCCTGTCTTTTCATATTTCCCAAATGCATTTCTACGGCCAAGCGATGTACTGTGCTGAGTGCTTTGCTTTGCGTTATAAAGTAAAAAAAAAATCTCCAAATGTCTAAAATGTATTTTCCTTGGCAAATACATTTCATTTCTGTTACGCTAAAAAAATAGGTCGTGCTTGAGTCGATTTATTCCATGCTGAGAGTGCAAACATGTAGTCGATTAAAAATGTAATATTTTGGCAATGTTTTTGTTTCATTCCCACACCGCAAACACAATTTGCACCACAGCGAGTATAATTACGGTTAATGGTGGAATACGCATTCGCAAGCAAACGAAGAGCTTGACTTAAAGCTTTCGTGACTGCAGGAATTCATATTCTTTGGGTCTTTCGGTAAAGTCACGTAGATAGGTTCAAATAAAATATATCACGACGTTTCGATCGCAACACGAGCGGTCGTCATCAGGAAAAGTGGGGTTAGTGTCTAAAGACAACTGATTTCAGCGACCGCGGCGGCGGTGGGCTTTCAACCAATCACAGGGCAGCCAGGCAGAAATTAGCATGTCAATGCACGATCGCCCAGCATCCTCCGCGGCGAGCGTGCCAAGGTGGCTGTGTTAATGTGAGAGATCAGCATGTTAATGGGAGATCGTGAAGCAGCAGCAGCCTCGAGGATGGCGCGCGAGGTAGCTGTGCGAGTGAGAAATTTAATCTGTTAACGTAAAAAATCAGAGAGCCGAAAATAACAACTAACATCGGAAGGTGGGTAGGCTGGAAACATCACAGCCCGTTATGACTTAAACTGGTTAATAACGTCCTTGTGTTGCGATCGAAACGTCGTGATTTATTTGATTTTATTTCTACCTTCGTGACTTTACCGAAAGAACCAAAGAGTATGCTAATTTCTGGCTGGCAGCCCTGTGATTGGTGGAAAGCCCACCACCGCCACGGTCGCTGCCCACCACTTGCATTGTCTGCTGGCATTCGGGCTACGCCCATTTCAAGTCTTTATCAGCAGTTGTCTTTAGAAGCTAAAACCCCCCTTTTCCTGATGACGACCGCTTGTGTTGCGATCGAAACGTGATTTTTTTTTTTCTATCTACGTGACTTTACCGAAAGACCCAAATAATATAAAAAACGAAGAGCTCCCTGTAATATTACGCCTCAATCGTGAGAGTTCACATTAATGATGATGGAACATCGTGTTTCGGATGCCTGTCACGTTTGCGTTGCTTCATTTTGCCGCGCGACCCAGATGTACGATGACCCGCAGTGCTGTGATAAGAGCATGACGCTATTTCACTGCTTCTTGCTCATTCAAGTGAAGGCTTTTAGAGGCATACGCTCATTAAAACTCACGTTACTATCCTGTGTTGTGCTCGCACCATGATACACTGAGTTTCCTCAATTTGTTCCAACTAAGATCGCCCTGTTTTATTCAATTAAGGTAAGCGAGTTATCGTTTTAAAATGTTGTTCTTAAACAGCCACTACACGCACATCGTGTATTGTGAGCAATGTGCTCTTTTTAAGGTAAGTTGCCCCATTGTGACTGCCTGTGTTTGCATGGAATCTATCACGTGGAGCTCATTTCCACTTAATATGTATCCAATGCTTCCTAAAAGTATTTATTCAATACATTGTCAAGTTTATATTCTTAGCTCTTTCGGTAAAGTCACGTTGAAGGGAAACAATAAAATAATAAAATATGTATAAAACAATAAAAATTCTCACGACGTTTCGACCATAACACAAACGGTCGTCATCAGGTGTGTCGGTTTGCATTAAAAATAAATAAATTAATGCAAACCGACACACCTGATGACGACCGTTTGTGTTATGGTCGAATCGTCGTGAGAATTTTTATTGTTTTATATATATTTTATTATTTTATTGTTTCCCTTCAACGTGACTTTACCGAAAGAGCTAAGAATATGAATTACTGCAGTTGCGACAGCTTTAAATCAAAATTTGTTGTCAAGTTTGTCAATTTATTTTTGGTTAACCCTTTGGTGCCTTTCTGCCACAATTCTGCCACCCAAAGCGCCATCACATCCGTTGCACACGTTAGGATAAACGATTCTATACAGTTTAAAAAAATATAAAGTTGGAAAGAAAAGTGTGTGGCTGCGAGTTAGTTGTTGCATGCATGCGTATAGAGATGTGTTTCGAGTTGTGACTCGAATGCAGTGACGGATTTGGTTGCGCGTATTGCCTCGGGGAGGCTGTACGTTTTCTGACGAGGGAGAATTTTGTGGAATGACGTCTAAACTTGTATCTGTTTTATTGAATTTCTACATCAAGCAAGTGCATGAGAGTAGGCCAGATATCCTCGAGAGGGACTCTACAGCTCTCTCGAGTGGAGGCATTTCCCCCAGCAGTAGCATGAGCAAGGAAATGCAGGGCTGCACCTTTGACAATGCATGCATCGAATTTTGCGTGCAACATTTGATAAAATAATCTATGATGAATTCAAATTTTATGTCGGTGTTATTTTTAGGTTGACAAGTTGAACACTATTCTAATAAATGACAAATGTACAATTCAAACATGGCAAACAAAGTTAGACAAAATGAATTAATTCTTGAATCCTAATGAAACCCTGCATTTTGACGATTCACTAGAATGTCACGGAAGAGCGAGGTTATTATGGAGAAATGTTACCCTTTTAAAATATAATTGAAAACAGTATAAAGTACCATAATTTCTATATGAATAACAAATAACATTTAACTTTTTTAGTGTTTTAAGAATAAAAAATGTCCAATTGGACAAATGGTAGTGTGAGCAATTATGCAGTGCTGTGCTTATAATTTATGGCGAAGCAGTTTATTTTTTGACAAAATGATCGCATTTTTTAATGGTAATTTCTAATTATATTCTGGAAGTAGATGCACTTTGTTAAATGAAATAGGGACTTATTTTCCACAGTGCACACATTTCATGTGGATCCTGTTCGTTGGGTTGCACTGGCCTAAACACTTTATCTAAATAGTGAATCGGTGGTCATGCTTCACAGTAGGACTTTTAATTAAATAAAAATCTAGATCAACTGAATGCCTCCAATTGCCTCTGGAATGCCGATTGGCAAACCAAGTGTGAATGCCAGTGGGGCAAAAGTATTTCCAGAGGCTACGTTTACTTGGCCTTTTCCTCTGGCAGTAGACCAGGACATCTATTTAATTAGTCTCCTAGAGCAACCGGATGTGGTGAACACGCCGGGGAGTGAGGGTTGTGAATTGTAGGAAAGTCTGCAGATGGAGATGTGAGTGGTTGGCCTTTTTCATTGAGTGTCATACACAGTGGTATTAACTCGTTATTTTTTGGGACGGCCCTGCACGTTGTCTTTGGTGGCTCAATAAAAAAATGTACATCCATAATGCAGGTTTTTTTTTGGGTTAGATAGCGTAAATATATAAAGGTGTCGTTAAACCCGCCACCACCCAACACAGCCAATTAGTAAAGTTTGTCATGTAAACAGAACATGCCAATTCATTACTAGTACAGCACACCGGTGTGTTGGAGAGCAAAGTCACAACATTTACAATCTGAGTACGACATTTCGCCAGTAATTACAACTAGCTTCATCAGGCAACAGCCAGATTTGATTTGCGGAGAAATCCTCCCGTTTCACACTTTTATATATTTACGCGATCTAACCCAAAAAAGCCCTGTATCATGGATGATATTGGTCGCGAAAGCCTACGTGCTAAACCAAAAAAATAGCATGATACTTTTAAAAGTAAAAGAATAATACAGTCACACCTCGGTATACGACCGCTTTGGAATACGTCGAATTTGGTATACGTCATTTTCGGTATAAGTCCTATCTTCTGGAACGAATTTACGACGTATACCGAGGTACCACTGTACTAGTTCGTAGGTTTTCGCGGCTGTGATGTGCAGCCCACTAATATGCTTTTGGGCTGTGGTGTGTGTTGTTCGGCATGATGTCCAACGTTCTCGATCCACATGCTAAGGAGCTGCAGGAATCGAACTGAGCAGCTCGCATTCTCCCTCGACTGTAGAGCCATGCCGGCTTCTATAGGCCAAGCTGATATTGTGTATTTGCTTTGTCTGGGAGGAATTGAAATGTCGGACATTGTGCAGAGCAACACACGGTGCAGCGTGGAGACACATCGCAGAGCAATAAAAAATAATCTTACTACCTTTTGACATCAATATGTATGCATATGCCCCTACCCATGCCATATTGGTCATAGGGGTTGTTGACTATACTTCACCGCACTGGTCAGTGGGGTTTATTGAAAACGCTTCGGACAAGGTCATTGCTTGTCCAGGACCGGTTCCGGTATCACTCACCAATGACGTTAGCCATGGTCAGGTATCGAACTTGGGTTGCCAAGTGCATAGCACTGTGCATTGCACTACTGAACCTCGTCTGCACTGGTCCACTCACAAAGGCGAACTGAAGACAGAAAAGTAAACAGCGGGAGTTTTAAACAGTGCCCTTTTATCAGTTCTCAAAACTACCGAGAGAGTTGTGAAAGAACATTGACAAATTTGTAAGACATGATTGCAATTTCTGTTTAAATTCGCCCAGATGAAAGGGAA